GATTTATATATATATATATATATATATTAATAATAGGGTAATAAATCATTATAAAGAATAGAAAAGTTTTGAAATCGAATAATGCTTGAAAAGTTCGATCGTACACTCCGGATTATTCTGTTGTTATGTCTGCGCTCAAAAGTAGAAGGTAGAAAAGGGTGGGACAAGGTGGGGGGTGAGAGGGAAAGGGGAGAGATCTGTTGTAATTAGCTCAGCTCCAAGTCCTTAATTATTGCTCGAACGTTGGCAATTACGTTTTTCAAGTAATTAACCGACTTGTAAGCTCACTACGAGATCCCAAGAAACGTTTTTCAATGAATAAAAAAAATCCCCAAATATTTTCGATCGCAACACAATGTGGGTTAGCTTTAATAAGAGAAAATTTCAAATATATAAAGTAAAATTCGATAATATTGATAAACGGGGGTATACACGTATGTCTAATTATGAATAATAAATAAATAAATAAATAAATAAATAATAATGTTATATATATATAAACTCGTTAGATAATAATTGCATAAACGAATAACCGCGATTACGATCTGACAAAATTCACAGGGGCATTATATTCCCAAATGATAACATCCCCGAATGATAACATTGTTAATAATTATAACGCTTGAAAGCTTAGCTTTAACTAACACAATTGTTACAGCGCGATGGATGTCGGAATACCAGCGGATAGTCCAAATTTGGTTTTACTGTTCTTCGTCACGCAATTGTTCCTACGTGAATTATCCAAATGTAAAAATCTCGTGCGAATCGTACCGATGGATATGTCAGGATATTATGGCAAGTATTACGCAATTATAATACAATCTTTTTCTTTTTTTTTCTTTTTTTTTTCATACAATAAATAAATGCACCAATATTGCAGAAAAATATTATTTTATTATTATTTTTTTTTTTTAATTCACACATTGTTTTTTTTACATTCATTATTATCATTTTTGTGTTTTGTTTTCTAAACAATCGTTAAGTAATTCGACGAAATTAGAAATTTTTCTTTTCTTTCCTCAAATACATTATTTCGAAATTCCAAGCACGAGAGTTTCACGTAATTCAATCGTTTCCCAATTATTTACAACCGATAGTGCTTTATCTAACGATTCTAACAATTGTAAGAGAAAGAGAGTTTCTTCGATAGAAGTGGCATAGAAAATTCGATTGTCTCGGGTAAATCTAACGATACAAAAGAAAACTCGGAGTATTCCAATCGGAACTCTAATTCTAATTCTAATTTGACACGTGTTTATCGATTTAAATTCAAGTACAAACATCTTTGTTTTAATTACAAATATATTTTATCTTTTTCTAATCTTTCCTTCTCTTTTTTTTTGTTTTTTTTTTTTATAATTTGACGCACGAATCGAAGGGAGGTGTGGGAGTGGGGGATAATAAAGACATAAAAGAAAAAAAAACAGAGAGATAATGTTTTCTTTTGTTGGATATAATTTTTTTCGTTTAGAAAGCAGAGCAGGACCATCGAACATTGGCAACGTGATTTCTCAGATTTTGCTGTGCAAACAGATCACGCCCGACTTTAACGAGGAGGAATTATGTAGTATCAAAAAGGATTCTTCAGAAATAGGTGCTTTGATCGCTGATTTACAGGAATTCATGCCCCAATCTGAAGCTGATACAGGTATATTATCCGTTCTATTTCGACTAATCGGATTAGAGAGATTCCATTACCAAATATACACGACCAATAAAATACGAATACTTTAATAAATATTTCTCTATTGAAATGAGTACGTAATTAATCATGCTCGCGCTAAGTAGATCTTTTTTTCAAAAAAAAAAAAAAAAAAAAAAAAAAAAGAAACAAAATAATAGTACAAGTCTAATTACAAATCTAAACGGAATAAATAATTTTTATAAAACTTTTGTTACGAAATCCGCATCATTTTATTAAACATAATTTAATTATCGTCTATTAATTTCATTCTTCTTCCTTTCGATCGTTTTTCTTTTTTTATTTCTTTTTTGTTTTTTCAGAGAAATGCGTGGCCCTACAGGAAGCCGGTAATCGGGTAAGCCGTAACAATGGCGGACGAAAAGTAAATCGATGGAATGCCAGCAACAGATCAAGACAATCCTCCTACTGTCGGGGTGGTTTCAAGTTCCTCTGTTGCACCGCCAGAACAAATTACATTTGAGATTTACAGAATGAATTGTTACAGTGAAAGGGAGGGATTCCATCCAGCGATAGGAAGAACTCCTCACCACTTTTCAATTCCATTTTATTTTCCATAATCAGTTTTTTTATGTTTTTTTTTTCCAGAATTAACGTCATCTCCATGATAATTTTAATGTTTCAATGAATTCGATAATTTCGTTATCTTTTATTTTTATTTCTTTTCTTTTTTGTGTTTTTTTGTTTTATTCTAAAAACAATTTGTTTGTTTTATATTATTATATTAATCGATGTATCTCTACTTTACGCGCGTACTGCATTTGAATATTTGAAAATTTGCGCGGCCGCCATTTTGGTTTTTAATCGAACGAGAACGACCAATGAGAATACTCCGAATTTGAAAATACGACGCGCCGCGCCGCGCCAAAGTTCTCTTAATTGATCGGTTATTTTTAAACAAATAAGGAGGATGGCCTTTGATCAAAGAAATAAAACAAAAAGAAATAAAGAGATCTCGTTAATCTCTGAATTGAATATATGTAACTAGTTGTAATGATAGAAAAGAGAATATACAGAAAAAAAATAATAGGACGAAGAGAGATAAATATTTAACAATATCGTGGAATTGCAAGTGAAATTAATAGAATCTCTTAATTTATTCGATAATAATAATAATAATAATAATAGTAATAATGATAATGATAATGATAATGATAATAACAATCGATAATATTACGATCGATCGAGATATTATATTATAAAAAACACACGCGTTCCATAATTTATAATTATTACAAATATTTCGTGAGATGAAATTAAAAAAAAAAAAAAATAGTAATAAAGAATAAGATCGGGATAATAACGACGAAGGAAAAAAATAATAATTGCAATGAAAGAAAACAAACTATAAAATCCAAATTAAAAATGAACAAGTAAGTGGACCAATCGTCGATCTATTTATTCCGATATTTACTATGTATCATTAATAACTATATATATATATATTTATGACTATAATACGTAAAGCTTATTTAATAATATAAATAAAGAGAAAGAAATAAAATGAAAGAAAGACATAATATTAATGCACGAAATGGCCGTACTAAATAAGTGATGATTCTTCTTGATCTCGTTTAATCGTGACTATATTCTGAGATAAACATAGCGATATATTTGTTATTAAAAAAAAAAATCAAATATTTAATAATATATATATAATATATTTATCGTAATCAAAAAAGAGAACGTAGAAGAATTTTTAGATTAAATTATTAGCAATAAGAAAAAAAAAAAAAGAAGAAGAAGAAGAAGGAAAAAGAAAGAACAATTCGAGTCGCGTCTTTGAACTTTTTATTATTTTTTAAACTACTTGTATATTAAAATTAATTTTCTTCTTAATCTCCTTAAACGCGTTACACCTTTTATTCGTCGTCAGTTTTCCTGTTATTTAATTAATAATCATTCGGAATACACTCAATAATAATTGCATATTACGACTATGAATCGATCGTATTTTAATCGGATTAACTCTTGAACAGAAATAAAAATAATTCTAATCTTCGTACAAAGTGTACCTGATGATACAGCACCTCGATAATCACTCAAATGACAATTTCCTCGATTTGTATGCATATATACATGCATATATATGCATATATACATGATTATTGTATCTATATATGTGTATATTTCGGTTTTGTTATGTGCATATAAATACTTTAATAAATAAATGCATGAATATATACATGTACGCATACATGCACCCATAAATGCATTCATCAATGCATATAAAAATGCCTGTAATTAATGTTGAATTATATAATAGATTTTAGTTGTGTACAGTGCTTCGATAAAAAAAAAAAAAAAAAAAAAAAAAAAAAAGAAACAAAA